GTCGAATAAATCTGTGTCCAATAATTTTGTGTCCAATAATTTGGTGTCGAATCGATCGGTGTCGAATCGTACTGTGGTCAAACGGAACACGCCCCACGTTTACAGTTAAATTCAATATACGTGACAAGGCCACCCACTATCGCGTTCTTGGAATTCATCTAAAGACGCTAACGTGGGTTCGATGATGTATCGCTCGTACCACTCGTCTAAATTAGTTGTACAAAAAATTTCCGAATTTCTGGTAGTTATACTTTTGTTGGCCCGTTTATCTCACGATACAAATTTGCCATTGAACGTTGTATTGATTTTCAGATTATTGTGTTTCTCAATGGCATTTTGAACTTTTTCCAACATCGTGCTTCTCGCGTGTTCGAGAAAATGGCAAGGTTCAACGTGATGTTCGTTGATGATAGCACCCGTCATTAGTCTACTCTCAAAAGCGGTGTCTATCTCTCGCCATGTAAGTCCATGTCCGGTGCCACTATATGCAAACTGTCGACGCAGTGAATTTTTTAATCCTTCGAGTCGAGTAATTCTAGCGACCAGCACTTGTCTGACTCCTACAGACAGTCGCGGACGTTTGTTCCGACTATGTTCTTCCAATAATTCGAGACATTCTTCACAACGCTGGTCCCACGCGACAAACTCTTCTCGCGAGTTTAAACAAGTCGACTGTTCCAATACATTGCGCTCTATGTGCGCGATTGTTTCCATTTTTTCACTCTTATAACACTTTGGTTTCGAGACACACAGCAATTGATTGCTCCAACCGTTTTCTGATGAAATACTAATTTTATGCAACTGGTTTCGCCTTTTTATAGTGCATTTTTGCTGATGCTGCATATTTGTTGTAATTGTAGTTTTGCATACTAAACTATACACATATCTTTGTTTAATAGAAAATGACATCTGATACACAAAAGAAAGTGCCACGTTTGCAAACTTTGAATATGTGATAAAATCGATGACATCTGATATCCGACAGAAATGCAGTGTTGCAGAATTTATGAGTCATGTGTAACAATTGTGCAATTGTTATTTTCTACAACGCAGTTAGCAATTTGTGCTGACACCAGCATTTATTTGTTTAATTTAATATATAATAGGATTATGTTACTTTACTTCGTAATCAAGTTGATGAAATCTGATATCCGATAAAAACTGCATATTTTGCAGAATTTATGAGTCATTTCTTCATCTTTTTTTTCTAATACGCAATTAGCAAGGTTTTTTGTTGTTAT